AATTTGCTTCTATTTGTCTTTGTTCCTTATTTGCTTCACCTGGTGCCTCAACTCACAAATTCTTGTGTTGATTGATTTTGCTATGTCTTGACCCCTGGATCATGGTGTACAACAGAATCTATGGAACAGGGGTGACTTTCCAGAAAGCGATAGATCTTGGTGAATAACGAACAAGATAATGAACTATGTATGTAAAGAACCAGTGTGGTGTACGTGTATTTCCAGAAACCCTTCATTTTTCCAGAATCAATGAACAAACTTTAAGCAGTACTTTGTTGGCTCCTCCCCAGCCTCCATGTGAGAAATTCACAAACTGTCAATAACAGGCACATCGATCCCCCGTATTTCAGTGGTAAAATACGCTACATGATTGTCACACACCAGACATATGCAAATGTAAATAAAAATATAAACCGATTTAAAAATCAATAAAAACACACCATATAAACCAAAATTAAGACCAAAATAAATCTATTTGTTGAAAATGTAAAAATGGGCTCAAAATGTGATGTGGTGAGCAGCAATAGGAAAAGGAAGTAATTAGGAAAGAAGCCTTAAAACAACTTATTGAGGAGGTGGTCAAAATATCTTTTAATAAAATAATTACTGCAATGTTGTGCAGCATAGACACATAACAAGAGCAGCACAGCAGCATTCAGGGGGAAATCTTTGAGTCCCCCAAAGACTTCTGTAGGCACCAGAATCACATCTTCCACATGCCCAAAGCATCCTCTACAGCAGTGTGTGTCTTTGGTGTGTGGTGGTGTATCTCTCCTCAGCCACGGTTTGGGGATTCAACACTGGAATCAGCAGATATTAGCCAAGAGGATGCCTGCTGTCTCCCAATAATCAGCCACTAGAAAACACCATCCTTTGCCATTTGACACTCCAAAGCTGGACTAAATATAAGCATCATGTGTACTCCCAGGTCACTAGGCAACAATATTTGTAAAATATCTTTGATGGTTGCAAATCACCTGGGGCCTCATGTATAAACGGTGCATATGCATGAAAATGTTGCGTACGTCTGTTTCTAAGCTCACGTCAAGATGTATAAAAAGTAAACTTGGCGTACCGCTACGCACATTCTCACGGCAGCTCCAGACACGGCGTACGCACATTTCTGCTCGGTTTTGTAAACGTATGGCACTCAGTGGCAAGTCATTGCTAATGTGTTTTCCCTTTTTAAACTCACAATCATGATGCTGACTTTATCCAATACATCGACATTAATTGTATGTTGTTTAAAAATATACGGTACCTGATTTTTTAATCAATTTGTAACGATAAGACAGTGCAGAAAATAACCAAACTATTACAACTACCATGGCAGCTCTTGCGTTATTAGAAGACATATCTTATGGAAGAATTAGAAGAGAGCGCGTATTCAGGGATCATAGTGATTTCTTGGCCCATGATGATGACTGGCTTCTAAGTCGATTCAGATCTCCAAGAGCAATCCTTTTGGAGCTGTGTGCTAAACTGGGACCAGCATTACAAAGGCAGACGATGAGGAATTGTGTTATACCTGATCCTTTACAAGTTCTGTCAACTCGCGGGTTCTTAGCCACAGGTGCTTTTCAGCGAGAGCTTGCGGACCGATCGGGTATTTCTCAGTCAACACCAAGTCGCGCCATGCCAGCTGTATGGGACGGCATAATCCGCTTGTCACCCAGATTTAAAAAATTTTACTTACACTGTGGTTGAACAGGCAAACATTGAAGCACGAATGTGCAGACATTGCTATAAAGGCACCTTCATTGAACAAATTTGCTTATGTTTATGTAAATAGAAAGCACTTTCACTCTATTAATGTACAAATTATGTGCATTATGTTCGAACATGCGTCTCATTAATGCGTCACATTTCATAATTATTCGTTTGGATCCCCCCCACATTTAACATAAAACATTAGTTTTATGCCAATGTGCCCCCCCCCCCCGTCCCATTCAAAATGCTTCTGATGCCCCTGCATTAATGTTGTGGCTCGATGGCCTGGCTCAACCCATGATTCGTTCATTCTCAGAAACATTAGTGTTGGAAACAAACTTGAAAATGGGGTGGTGCATGATGGCTGGCTGCTTGGTAAGAAGATTCTTCCCATTTTATAATTTGGCCCAATACTGTAAGCTTTGTTTGATTTAACCTTTTTATTAACTCCTTAGGGGGACAGTGGGTACCCACTATAGTCGTAGCTTCTCACGCTGCTCGCAAACCCACAGAATGAACAGGAGCGGCGTTATAATGCTGCCCCCCATTCTCGGGCTCGGCGGTGGTGGAGCGCACTGTAGGGCAGCTTTAAGGCTGTTGGTGCTGCCTGGTGGGGTGCTGCTATACATACAGTTCGCAAAAAGTGTGTGGAATTGTACACGCATGTAGCTTGTTGCATAATCTGGCACAAAATCGTGGCTG